TATTGTTTCAAGTTTATAATTTATTAATGAACTGGCTAAAATTTTGATCTAATTTACCACTAGAAAGTGTTGGCTCAAAAACTATTAACAAACTAATATATGATATTGTTATACATGTATGTATTATATTATATATGTGATGCTATAAACATATTACAATGCCTATAACTATGTTACTCATCGGTCGTTATATTTATGAACTTTTAACCTTAACGGAGAACTTTTTACATACGTATTATTTTAAAGTAATTTAATCGTTTCGCCTTACAATAAGCCAAAAATACCAAATGATTTATGGACAATGTAATATAATAATAAAACAAAGCAGTTTATGTTTGTATTTCGTGTTATGAAATATTGTTGATCTTGATAATTGTTCGGCACATTAATATTGTACTCTTATACGCATGTGTTTATTATGAATTGATTAAGTAAAGAAAAAAATCGGTTAGCAGGTTACTTACCACGACTACCAGAAGTATGATAAGTATTTGATTACGTTCCATGAATTTCATCATTTATTTTCTGGAAATCTATGCTCGTTTATTTTATTGATGTGTCGGTGTCCGATATATTAATATATATGTTGTTATACAATTATTATTTTTTCTTCGACGGGTTCCGTTTTGCCAATTGTTCTTCTTTATATTTTGCGAATAATTGGTTTCCGCGAATCACTTGTTTCCCATCTTAAAACGAACTTATGAACTCAAATTTTTTTTGATTTTTGTTGCTTCGTTAATTATCCGTTTCTCACATTTTGTTTCTTTATATTGTTTAATATCGTTAAAATTGTACAACGAAAAAATAAGCGATGGAGAAAATTTCCAGAAAGCTTTAACAGATAAATTTTAACGATGTTAATCAGCGTCATGATCTAAGAGCATCCGTAACCGAAGCATTTGCCTTTACCTGAGAGTTTCTCAACTTTCCCGTTCACGTTAGATTTTTCATTATACTACTTTGGACGAATCATATTTTTTTACTACTGGTCCCTTGAACTTTGAGTGCACTAGGTTTGATGAAAAACATCATCAATATATTTTATTTCCGTGCTGAAAGGATTCATTTGTACCATGGTACGCGTGTCAAAGGTAAGACTTCGAATAAAAAAAAAAAAAACGGAGATTTACGGAAATTGTATTAACTCGACAAACAGACACACACGTATACACGTCCGAAACGCAGTAAAATCTGTGAATGAACAAAGTACCACTGCGTTTAGTCCAACAGACGCGAAGATCTAAATAAAAAAAAAAAAAAAAAAAAAAAAAATGATCAAAAGTACAAATCTAAACGTTTTCTAACGTCACGTAGTAAGTATAGGGCAAGGTTTCAGTTGCGTAGATCCTTAATATGATGATACGTCGGTAAGAGTGAAAATTACACCGCCGTTCCCATTCGATACCTTATCGGCAGTAACAGTTCATAATTTATCACGCACATCATCTATCACATCAGCGCGCGAGTCAACTATTCGAAGCGTGAGCAGTTATTCGAATTCCTGGATATTTGCAAAACAAGCGAGGACGGTATAATATGCCGCGGTGCACAAGACGACGTTTTCGAAAGAATAAAAACCACAATGCGATCGCCGTGCACGGAACACGTATTTTTTTCGTAAAGCACAGCTGTTCCTCGAACGTTTCCTTTACGTGAAAAATCCTTACCGATCAACGGTTGCAACGTTGCATGCGTCCTCCAATTATTCCAGATATATATATATATATATATTAACCTCGTACTTCTTCCGAGCTACGGCGAATATATCATCGTTTAAGATCGGGTCTTCCGATGAATCGTCGTCAAACTTCTCCGGACCAGTAGTTTCCGTTATCACATCTGATATATTAACGCTAAAAAAAAAAAAAAATCGTGTACCGAAGTTCGGTTGAATTTGATTCGGCAAAACTTATCGGTACTGAAAATCGAAAAATCGAATTAAACGAAAAGCAGTTACGTAATTTCGAGCGTGTCGGACGAATAATAGATTCCGGAACGGATTTCAGGCACATCGTGTATCGCGGTTTTTCTAGTCGGACAACACGTTTAGAATCTCGGTTCGGACGGCGTTCCTCATCGCAGATGTGTCGATTATTGTAATATTATAACAATTGTTAGCACAACACGGTATTATTATCACGCGTACAAGCGACGACCACGTTTGTCGTGCGCAGTGTGTATTTCATCCGAAACGTGCACCCAGTCTGCTTGTTTTGACGGCGGAATCGAGGGCTGGCTGGCTGACTCTGTTCACCGTCACTGTGTACACGATAATAATAAAAATAGTAATATATTTTAATCTTCATCCGACTGCGAACGCGTACCCAACGCGCGTCAATGATCACGCGTATCGTTATAGATCTGTTGATGTTACGTTCACGGAACCATGGCTTTATTCGGTCATTATTATACATTATTTTATTATTATTATTATTATTATTATTATTTATTTTTTTTTTACCTTGTTCGTCAGACTCACTATCTGTACAGGTACACAATGCGGCCTACAGAGATGTCAGGGAATCGGAAACCGAAATATTTTAATAGCGTTTTTCTTTGGTGGTGTCTCTCGTCACTCTTTCAGGTTTTTATTATTTCTTTTTTTCCCTTCCTCTCTGTCGGACAATAATATGATATAGTGATGTACGCGTCTTGTCTGCGCAGTCGTCTCACACGCGTTACTTCCAATGGAATTTATTCCGAAAGCTTATTTTGTTTACGATTCACGTATCACAATATTACCATATGAATTGATCAGGTTAATTTAGTAACAAAATCATCGTTTACTATATTATATTATGATTTCGTTAAAAAAAAGAAAAATAACACTTTTTCACAAATAGTACAATGTACCAATCCATGATGTTTTGTAACATGTATTTATGTATAATAAATTATCGTTTTTAAAATATGAAATTACTTTTCAATCGGCCGAAAACCGTTTTAAAATCAATATTTTACTAGCGTTTCTTATATAGAATCAAAGCTAATACTGATACGGAATAATATAAAGACAAAAAAAGAAAAAAAAAACATTAGTATTTATTTTAGAAATTCCCTTTAAACAACTCATTCTGCGAAAACGATTTGTGTGTATATTTTGACAACCTTTCCGAAAATGACATAAATATTTTAGAGCCGGGTGAAAATATAACCAGGAACATTTTTCAATCAAAGTTTTATATGGAATTTCTACGTTATATTATAAATAGGTTAGGTTTATGTATTTCTCGGTTACAATCAATTTGCTACAGCATGAACCATCACGATTCTCTACAATGTGTATCTATTCACATATACATCGAATATATTCGTAAAACTAAAAACATATTTTAGGTGCTAATATAGGATTCCCGTGGCGAAATGGAAATTTTCATTATTTATTTCATGGACCATAAGTGACGATACTTTCAGATTACTTTCAAAACCACCACGCGGTTTATTAGTCTAATTTTTAATGCATAAAATTATATAAGTATATCGTAAATTTCAATTAAAATATTAGAATATGTTGGTGTCTGAAATTAAATTAAATTATTTTGATGAATCATCTAATGCCATTTTGGCAGTTTCCAATATAAGGTTTCAATAATAATTTTTTTAAACAACAAATCTTTGATTGATTAATTCTAAGATTTTTTGAAAACATTTTTATCATGTTTACTTAATCATCATCAGAATCTGGAGTAGGACGACTTAATATCATTAAAAATGTATCAAGACCGGTTTTATTTAAATTCATATTGTGAATGCTAACATACGTGTATAGTTGAGATTTTTAATATTTTATCAGGTCCATATAATTTTAGCAAGTATTATAAATACAGAGGTGGAACTAAACATTTTTACTTTCGAGAAAAATGTTGAAATGATGCCATGTCATAGATCAAGAATCTTATAAATTTTCCTACAATTTTTTTTTTTTAATTATTAGCATACAACCATGCATATTGAATTGTATACATATTATAAGCAACAATAATAAATTTATCGAACGAGTCAATAACGAATTATATACCTACTACAAAAATTAAGTAGACCAAAAATTTTTCATCCAGAAATAAATCCTTGTCTTCCTCCCTCTAGTTCCACACTAGAATAAATGTAACACATGATTTACATGTTATATGTAACTTACAGTTTAAAACTCCCAACAATATAATTTTTCCTCTCGTCTGTTTGGTAAAATGTGTTATATTATTATTTGAAATTTGCACACAAGAAGAATATTCATAGGTGATAAATATTATGAAATTGGGTCTCATAAAAAATAACAAAAGTATGTTTTCATCAGTATTTACACGTTTAATATTTACATCTATATCTGGGTAATAATAATACTCTACTTATACGAAAAAAAGTGTAAGATTTATAACATAGCGTTACAGATACAACCGATATAGGACACCAAACAAAATCAATTAGAATTTCTTTCATGAACTTTCGAAGAAAAATCTCGGTTTTTTTAAATATTTTACAAGGATTTAATGAAACGCTCGAGGTAGAAACGCCGTTTTTTATTAAAATTATAGCATAAAAAGATTGATCAAGAGAGCCGTTATTGTATCATAATTTAAAAGTGGACATAAATTATTAGATCGATTCCTGAATGATTCTCGGTATTTATATTTTTTTAAGATTATAAAAAAATTTAGTTAAACGAATGAATAAAATATTAATGATAAAATTAATGTCTTGTTTCCGATCAAGTTTTAATTTATTACTATCAATCCAATTACACAATTTTGAACCGGAGATAAACTTTGGTGTTTTGTTAATGGACTTTCTTAATATCGTGTTTAATTCGATTCGATCGCGAGTTTACGAAATACGATTGTATTATATACATATTATTACATGAAACTACGTGTCTAATCCCTAAAATACGTCGCATTTTTGTTTACTTGTCAAATCCGTGTATTTTTTGTTTGTTATATTCGTATACTTATGATAATAGACAATCATTACCTAGAATGACTCGTATATATTTTTTATAGTGGACGAAATCATCGTCATCGCGTTACATCGAATACACACCACCTCTCCGCAACAAAAGGTAAAACTCATAATATTTTATAATATAACGTTGGTCTTGTTTGTTTTTTTTTTTTTTTATTCGACGCTATTGTGGGTTTTAAAACGAAAAGATGCATATCGTAGTATCACATTCGTATTGGATAATGGATGTGTAAATGCAAACACTCTTAAATGTTATTTTCCCCCGTTGCTATAGACCCGCGGTAAGAGATGGGTAGTCGAGATTGAAGAGGAATGACAAATGTGATAATCAATCAAATGGAAAAAAGCTAAGGGTAAATATATGACGTTGTGATAAATATACAAAAAATGCGCACACAAATTACCCGGTAATCGTATGTATAATATTAGGAATCTCGTCGGAAAATGAAAACATTGACAAATTTCCAAGTGCTCAATGATATTATATTTATGAGTAATACGTTCATTTCTACACGCTTTCGTAACGTTATTCATGTAAAAAAAAAAAATAAAAAAAGAAAAAGAAAAGAAAAGAAAAGAAAAAAGAAATGGCTTAAAAATCGAAAAAGTATAAGAGCGAACACAAAACTAAAATATATTTATAGGAAATTTTTAAAGTCCAAGACTAAGCTGACGGTATAAATGTAATCAACTATTTATTTATGTTTTATTCTTATGTTTTTTTTATTTGGCTTCGGGTCACCAATATATTTTAATATCATTGCCGAGCCTTTTAATTACTAAATGAAAAAGTTTTTTTACCGGACCTACATGAAACTCATCAACGGCAATCAATTTAATTGATATTAAATATATCGTTGTAATAAGAATTTGTAACAAAAATTGTGCTGACGAACCTTGTATGATTTTTGTACAATGTAATACACTATCAATTCAATTAATCAAAATGAAATCATTTAAAAGGCAATAATTATTGGTTAATGTAATGTAGGATAAATAAAATTAAAATAACGTTTAGTAAATTATAAAACATATTTCTTGTACGGCAGCGGTATATGTCTATATCATTCATGTAACCTATTTGATAAGGCACCTCGTTATACAGAATCAATTTTCCCTCGTGTTATTCTTCGTGAAACAGTTTGACATAAATTAAGAACGCATTTTGAATAATTGCATTATATTTATAAGTTTATCGTTACGCAACGTTGCGCTAAATCCTCTTAAAAGTAACTTTAAGGTTTGACTATCGCAGTAACAATATTTAATTATTTCAAAACAAATCAAATGAAAACATCGACTTAACTTATTTTCTATTCTTAGTTGAACAAACGCACGGTAGCAGAAAATAATAATTGTATCAATCGTTCGATTCAGTGTATATGGTGACGAACGTTATGAATTTTAAAATATGTAACTGATTTCATAAACATTTTAATTCGGAAGTTTTTCAAAAGCAGAAACTAAGCACAACTTCGTTTTAAACACCAAATTTTGTTTAACATTAACTTATTGATGTTATTCGAACACGTTGACCGTCAGTCGATACTGTGCTTACGCCTTAAAAGGATACACCATGCATATTAAAATATTGACAATTCACGTGTGGTCGACTGCTGTAAAAAACTTCTTCGTTCGCAATCTGTGCGCGCCAAGAACGTACCCAAGGAGGGTTATATAGGCGTTTCTACCTCGAGCGTTTCATTAAATCCTTGTAAAATATTTAAAAAAACCGAGATTTTTCTTCGAAAGTTCATGAAAGAAATTCTAATTGATTTTGTTTGGTGTCCTATATCGGTTGTATCTGAGGGGTTCGGTTTCAGACCTCCTCGTTAAAATTTCTACATACACAACGGTTTAACAGTAAATAGTATAATAATAGTATAAGGTGTCACAAAAATAACGCAGGATTTAAATCAGCTATAAACTAAATTTATTTCTTTTAAAAAATCGTAACAAATATTTTATTCGCTTCAGAAGAAGTTAAGGTTTAATAGTGAAAAACAATATCGGGCATATGACCCTCCTTACTAGCCCTACAGGTGATTATTCTTTCCATGAAATTCACCATCACTGGATAACACATTGTCCCATCAAGTTCGTTGAGGATACGATGAATTTCTTGCTTAAGTTCCTAGACTTTTCGAACTTTGTCCTGGTAAACTCGTGACTTAGTGTATCCCTATAAGAAAAAATCACACAGCGTCAAGGTGCAAGATCGAGGTGTGTAGCTTTGGTCACGGAACAAGATTAGTCTGTCCGAGAAATTCTTACGCAGCAGAGAGATTGTTTCTCTTGAAGTGTAACAAGTTGTCTTGTTGTAACCATACAAGAATAACTACTCAGCTCAGTCATTTTCTTTGGCTGAGGCCAATGAGTTTGGACCAAATAAACATTGAAAATGTATGGTTTTAACTTGTCACATTCCAAGTGAAACAATCACTTTGTTGCGTGAGAAGTTCCTGAATAGACTAATCTCGTTGTATGGAAACCAAAACCACCCATCTCGATCTTACGACTTAATAACGTGAGATCTTTTTCTTATAAGTATTCACTAAGTCACGAGTTTACCATTTAAGTTCCAATGCCTTGGAACTTAAGTAAGAAGTTCGTTGTGTCCTCAACGAACTTGATGGGACAATATGTTATCTAATGATTGTAAATGTTATGGAAACAAAGCCTATAGGGCTAGTAGGGAGTATCATATGACCGATATTGTTTTTCACTGTTAAACCTAAATTTCTCCTTAAGAGAATGATATATTTGTTATTTTTTTTTTTTTTAAAGAAATCAATTTAATTTATAGCGGATTTAAATCCTGCGTTCTTTTTGAGATACCCTATATATGGTATATATTAATTTCCCATTATCTTCAATATACAAAGTTTATGGGTTATATAATATACTTATAATGTACAAACCATACTATAGTATATTAACAGTAATTTGTTGGTATTGAGTTAAACTATAATTATAATCAGAGAACAGATAAAATAAAAATGTTGGACCCCCCATAAAAAATTCCTGGATACGCTCCTGGTGCGCGCAGTTCTACAGCACGTGCCGACGGCGTGAAATCAGTGCATACTTACGGACGAATGAAATTAATAGGTATTGAAAAACGGTTCCAGTTTTCGTTCTTTTCTCTCTCTCCTCCCCCCCCCCTTTTTTTTTTTCTCTCCGGAAACATTGGTCAAACGGCGCGACACGGGTTTTCGTGGTCGAGATAAAAAAAAAAAAAAAAAAAAATAAAAACGTTACACGCACATAATGAGGATGTATACCACTTAAATCGTGTCCGCCGGACACGACTCGTGTGATATTTATTTATTTTTCTCGTTTTACCATTTCGATTCCGAAACCGGACATCAATCATCCATCGACGGAACGTATTAATATAAACATGCGTAATACGTACATGATTTACGAGGAAACACGCTCCGCGACGAGGGTGGTCCCGGGGGCGAAAAAAAAAAAAATGATCATAATAACAATAACAATCGTCGGAAGATTAATAACGCAGCGGAGCGCGTGAACCCGTCCGCAGCCCGGGCACGTGTGGGACATTTAACGAACGGTTATTTTACCGGGAGAGGACTAGACCTCCGTCTGCGGTCGGTAACACATGGCCCACGGGCACCGCGCACGGGGATAACGGACGCGCGGCCGCGATCGCTGTTGCAGCAGTATCGTTCGTTACGAACGAATCGAACGCCGCACGACGTACGTGCATCGCGTTACAATACCACGGCGCGCTGACCTCGACGCGTTCGCGCGGGGATCAACACCGAAACCGGGGTTATCGCGAATCGATCGAAAAAAAGGTTCAGGGGATCGCGTAAAATCGGACTTACGACTTGGCGCACACGTCAACGGTACGGTCTTACGGGCGGCTCGGTAATACGACCGAATCGGTAACGTTGCAGCCGCGAAGCGATCGAGCACGTAGGAAGGAGTTCGGGTTCGAC